TTAGGAGACTAATTAAACCATGCATTTGTTCTAATTACTTTAGCTGCAGACTGCATGGAAACGCAGCAAACAGACTTGTCCCAAGTACGGCAGTGAGGCATTTGAGGGTAGCTTTCTCCAACAGAGGTTTTGAGTAGCACAGAAGGAAGGAAGCTGAGATGCAGAGCCATCATCTGCAAGCGGTGGCTGCAGCTACAAATCGCAGGGCTGCCCTTATTCGTGCATAGTGCAGAAAACATCGTTCATCATCTATTATTTCATTTACATCCAAACACAGAGAAAACAGTCATCATCTCTAGCATCATTGTTGAATATCAAGGGTGGCACATTTTCATCAACATAAGTTAGCCCACAAAAACTATAGTTATTACTTAAAGGACAATTTATATATTGGGCAAGAATAATAGTGCTGTTATATTGGTTACTTTTTCCTCTTAGGCTTTATTCTCTTAAATAACGTTCATATTTTATGCATCAGTTTAATTTTTAAGGTAAGTAAATTCCTACTTCTTTTATCTATTTCTATTTTAGTTAAGTGGAGTTTAGAATACTGATGATCATGTTTGTGAAGAAAAAGTTTTTATTACTACTGTCTACTCAATTCAGTTAGACAACTGGTTTCTTAAAACAGGATTCACAGGAAACGCCTTTCAAAGGCAAACCCCTTTGAAGGCATATTTCTGCATTAGGTAGAAACTGGTTTAAAAGTACTGTGGCTGTGTTTGTCCATTTACCTTAATTTTCAGGTGTAAAATACCAGCTGAAATGCTTTCCCCCTCACCCCCTCAGCTAAACTGGCAAACACATAAGAAATATTGCTGGTTTTATTACTTTTATCCAGTTTTTTTCTTAAATGTTTATTTGAGATTCTTGGTTCAGAGTCCAAACTTCACAGAAATTGTAACTAGATATGGAAAAGAACTTTAGCTTTCTGAGGTAACTTGTCATAAATATAAAAACAAACAAAAAAAAGATTAAGAGACAGGAATCTATAACCAAAGAGTAGAACATTAAAACAACCATCTGGTGAATTCAGGCCAGATACAAAGTCTCGACTTTTTGCCTAAACCATCTAGGTATCTACACCACCTCTCCACTTTATTTGCCCAAGGAAACCTGACCTAAACTAAACGACTATTCTATATCATTAAGTTGTCCAGGAAGATGAAAGTTTAAATATATGTCAGACAAGCTGTAGCACCTGGTGTAATTCAGTAATGACGGTCTGTTCTAGACAGCTTCAGTGTTAGACAAATTTTAAAACTGAGATTTGGTTAACCTATCTCATGTTATCATGTAAATCATTTTACATGAAATCATGTAAAGAAAGTAATGTTATTCTACCCACACATTCTCCCTGTTTACAAGTACTAATATTTGCTCAATTCTTTTCTATTATAGGAGACATACAAAGTAAAATCCCTCTATGAAACATCTCACTGCATCACTAATTCCATTTTGTCGCAGCAAATAATACACTTTGAGTACAAATTACCAGCAGTGTTACTCTTTCACTGTAATTGTTTAAAAATTTTTTTTTCACACTGCTTCTTTAACACATTGTTTAGTCCTAGAGGTTCACCCTAAAGTAGAGAGTGTCTTACAAAGTATTGTTTAAGAGTGCTACATAAAATTAACAAGTTTAGATTCACTTTTACAGTTTGTTGATATGAGAACAAAGTTCTCTCTTTACAATAGCATATAAGCTTAAGTATATGATAGTTTAAAAGAAGTCTGGGAGTGATCATAGTAACATTTGTGTTTGTCGATAGCTCCCTTCTAAACTGCACTACAAACCTCACTTTGCCAAATTTATACACCTTTCAAAATAGGAGAGAATCAAGTTTAAATGTAATGCTTTTCATCAACAGACTGAGAAAAAAAAACTTGCGACAAATATGATAAAGGTGTAATATCTTTATTAGGTAAACAAGTCACATATAACTAGAAATAACACTAAGAATTCAATAGATAAGGTAAGGAACACAAACACAAGATAATCTATTGTCAGCAAATTTATATATACATGTTTTTTTAACTCACTAGTAAACAAAAATGCAAATGAAAAGAACAGTGGAATACTATTTGATTCACCTTTTTAGTGATTTTTTTAAAAACAAGAATGCCCCCAATCTGGCAATCAGTGTGGTGGCAGGGAAAACTGATACAATATTTTTTTAATAACACACCAAATGGTTATACCTTTTAAATCAGTAATTCCACTCCTCAGTTTCTATCCCAAAGGAATAAATCTACGCATTTAATAAAAGCTATAGGTACAAGATGTTCATTGCAGCATTATTTATAATATTGAAAAAATAAAAACAATCTAAATACCTCAAAGCAGAGTGATGATTAAGTGCACTAATACACAGCTGCCAGGGATATTTTTACTGTGTTTTAAATGATGTTTAGGCTCGTCAATAACACTATGGGGACATGTTATCATGTAAGTGAAAAAAACAAGATGCAACAACATCATATACATTGTAAGCCTACCAGTCTGTATGAAAAAATTCTATAAAGACATGAGGATTTAAAAACCCATTGTTTTCAGTATTTTCCAAATTTTATTTAACATGCAGTTTAATGTTTTTTAATACATTTTAAAATGTCATGTTTTTACTCAAAGCACTTGCAGATACATTGTCTTGTTTTCAAAACATTTCTATCTAAAGCAAAACCCTGTGCTTGGAAAGATTTGTAAAATATCATACCTATTATTAAAATCTCAAATTATTTTATCCATTATCACTTTGGGCATAAGTGTAGGGAATCTTCTACATATGTGACTAGGCAGCTGAAACATGTAGGCAGCAGGTCCAGTCAGGGCTTTCTCAGCATCCACACTCATTCTGTCTCTAACCTCTTTCAGAAATCATGGCTGCTCCTAGCATCTGTGAATATACTGCCCTTAAATACCTGTGGCAGCAGATAGAATGTTATGATTGTTTCTAATATTTCAGGGACGACCAAAACCAATTTCTTTTTTTACTGAACGGGAACATCGGGGAAAAAAAAACATTTATTGAAATGTTTATTTTGATTCTGTTTCCAACAGAGAATAAATTTTTAAGAGGGCAGAGATGAAGTTTATTTTACAATGCATACACTGTCTAGTTCACGTTTATATTTTATAAAAAATATACTTTGCAGCATCGACCCTAGGGCAAAGGTGAACCAACATTTTATACTTTTAGAAAGGAATATCATGTCCCCCCCCACCCCCGTTCCCCCAGCCCAATTGGGTCTTTGCAATTGTGGTCACTCCTTTGACATTTTATTTCATTTTATTAATTCATTTATTTATTTTTACTCCTTTGACATTTTAATGTAATATCAACTCATTTCTAAAAATTCTAGTGAAAGAGAAATGGAGAGGAGAGGAGAGGGGAGGAGATAATGGGAAACTGAAAAACAGTTCAGGAGGTTGCACTTACACTCCAGCAGTTTTTCCAGAAATGTGGGATGCAGTAGTTCTTATTTTTGTGGTGTCAGGTTGTAGAATGAAATTCGGCAAAAACCTTTCCTTGACGCGAGGGATGCAAAATATATTCCAGGATATGTATTCGACATGATCCTTTGTTCTAGGTAGAAGCTTTTCTTCTAAAGTTTTTCGGCTTCGCTCAAGGAAAGACAAACTTATTATTTTGAAATTCTCTTAAAGGCGCCTTTCAAAGCATTTCCCGCGGGAAAATATCACGACAGCTCAGCACTGGTGTTTTCCAGTAAGACTCGAGTCTAAATTTTTTTTCCAACATGGCTGTATACTTTGCAGGCCCCCCCAAATTTGTGCTTTCAGTCACCATTAATCAAACACCATCTTTAGCCAACCTGCGTTTCCTGGGCTAGAAATGCGCTCTGATCAAAGATTATATTCATTTCTAAGGCATCGGTGTTATTCCTGTGCCTTAGAGCCGCGGGCTTTTGTCTGGGCTGGAGCAGGCTCGGGAGTGCCTGCAGCGAGGGGGACGGCAGGTCTGAGAGCCCTGGTCGTTAACACGTTTCCAGGGGGATGCCCACACTTTTTCCCAAGACGCCCACGGCGCTCACCCCGAGCGACCAGACTGTGACAGGAATAGAGAATTTATGTGAAGGACAGGGAAAAAAAGAGGGCGCTCAGCTCTGTACCCGGGTCACCGCGGCTCATGGATTTACATGAGTTTATTACTACCATTAACAGCTACTTGGAAAGGGTTGTTTACCGCCTGAATGCGCGACAACCAGACGTCGGAGCCCACACCGCGACCCAAGCCACGCCCCCTCGCCTTGAGGGCCCCTCCTGTCCCCCAAACTAATTAATTCAGAGCGACCTCCCTGCCAGACACTCCCATTGGCTCCCACCCCATCCAATGAGAACCTTGCAACAGTTTCACCTGGCTCCCAGTTCCCAAATAAACAAACAAACTGTCCCGCTACTGTGCCAGCTCTCTTCTCGGCTCAGCCCGACAAGGTTGCGCTCTGCTCCCTCCCACAACTTCGAGCACCCTCCAGCGAACAGAGCGTGGGCGGTGGTGCCCCCACTCGGACTCGATCTCGAGCCACTTTCTCCTCTGCCCCTCCTGGCCTTCTCCCGCCTTTCTGTGCCTTGGTGGACTCCTCGTTGGGACCACCGTGGCCAGAGTGCCCCGCCTTCTCCCGTAGGTGCCCCGGGGGCCTAAAGGCCAGGACATTCACCTAGACAGTCTAGGCTGGGTTGGAGGTGGCCCCGCCTCTCAAGCCTGCCGCCCCCTCCCTTGCGCACTTCTGCGAGCTGCAGCTCGAGCCCCACCACTGCGCTGGTAGCTGGAGCCCAAGCGGCCACCGCGTGAGGCTGCGGTCACGTGTTGTTTTGCCCGCCGCTGCGTGCCCGGAGTGGACGGGGGTGGGGGGGCCCGGGCGAGGGCTTAGGTAGGAGGGGGCTGGGGCGGGCTGACCGGGGTAGACGGCCTCTTCCCCCAGCCCTCCCTTCCCAGAGGCCCCCCTCCCCCTCACTCACCTTAAAACCACCGTGCATCACCATGGCGAGTTGCTCCTTCGCTCGCGACCCAGCGACAAGGAGACTGAGAACTGCAGCAGCGGCTACGGCGGCAGCTCTAGCTGCGGTAGCGACCACCCCACTTCTTTCCTCGGGAACCCCAACCGCACTCATTGGGACCGGGTCGTCTTGTCCGGGAGGCATGTGGCTCTCCACAGCCACTGGCTCCCGGTCACATTCCGAGTCCGATGAGGAGGACCTTCCCGTCGGTGACGACGTCTGCAAACGCGGCTACCTGCGGAAGCAGAAGCATGGGCACAGGCGCTACTTCGTGCTCAAACTCGAGACCGCCGATGCCCCAGCTCGGCTGGAATACTACGAAAATGCCAAGAAGTTCCGGCACAGTGTCCGTGCCGCGGCGGCTGCAGCAGCGGCGGCCGCCTCAGGCGCCGCGGTCCCCGCGCTCATCCCACCTCGGCGCGTGATCACCCTGTACCAGTGCTTCTCTGTGAGCCAGCGAGCCGACGCAAGGTATCGACACCTCATCGCTCTTTTCACCCAGGACGAGTACTTCGCTATGGTGGCCGAGAACGAGTCGGAGCAAGAGAGCTGGTACTTGCTGCTCAGCCGCCTCATCCTCGAGAGCAAACGCCGCCGCTACGGTAAGCCCGGCGCGCAGCCAGATGGAGAGCCGGCCACCCTTGCGGCCGCAGCGGTGGTGGAGCCACCCTTCTACAAAGATGTGTGGCAAGTAATAGTCAAACCCAGGGGGCTAGGGCATAGAAAAGAGCTGAGCGGCGTGTTCCGACTCTGTCTTACCGACGAGGAGGTTGTATTTGTGAGGCTGAATACCGAAGTGGCCAGCGTGGTTGTCCAGCTCCTGAGCATCCGTCGCTGCGGGCACTCCGAACAGTATTTCTTCTTAGAAGTAGGCAGGTCCACCGTCATCGGTCCAGGGGAGCTCTGGATGCAGGTCGATGACTGTGTAGTGGCTCAAAACATGCATGAGCTCTTTTTGGAGAAGATGAGAGCTTTGTGTGCAGACGAATACAGAGCCCGCTGCCGCAGCTACAGCGTCAGCATCGGCGCCCACCTGTTAACCCTGCTGTCCACTAGGAGGCATCTGGACATGATGCCGCTCGAGCCCGGCGGCTGGCTCAGAAGGTCCCGCTTTGAGCAGTTTTGCCACCTCAGGGCAATAAGTGACCGGGAAAACGAGATGCTCCTCACCAGGCGCGACATAACACCCCGCGAGCCTGTGCCGCACTCCAGGCGAAGAAGACTGCACCTGCCCAGAGCGCGTAGGTCCAGAAGAGCGATTTCAGTGCCAGACAGCTTTTTTCGGCGCCTATCACCCAGCCTGGTGCTTGCCCCGCAGACTGCAGAAGTCCCCAGCGACAGAGCTTGCTTATTTTCTGAAGCATCTAGTTCTGGTTCTGGCAGCTCTGTGGAAGAAGGAAATCCTCAAGGCCAAGAGGGTCAGGAAGGAAACGCAGGCGACTATATGCCCATGAACAGCTGGGGCTCCGGAAATGGCCAGGGCTCAGGAGGTGACCAGGGATCAAGTGGCCAAAGCTCAGGAGGAAACCAGTGCTTAGGCAGGGGGCAGAGCTCTGGAGATGGCCAGGACTCAAGTGGTGGCCAGGTTTCAGGTGGCAAAGGCTCAGGGGGCCAGGGTGCAGGAGGAAACCAGTGCTCAGGAGATGGCCAGGGCCCCCCAGGTGGGCACAGTTCAGGCAGTGGCCAGGGAGCCAGTGGTGGGCACGGCTCAGGTAGTGGCCAGGGTGCAGGACATAGCCATGGCTCAGGTGTTGGCATGAACCCTGGAGGGGACAAAAGCTCAGGAAGTGGGAAAGGCTCCGATGGCAATGGTGAACATAAAAAATCTCTGAAGAAAAAATCTTATTTTGGCAAAATAATTCAAAGCAAGCAACAGCAAATGCCACCACCTCCACCACCTCCACCTCCATCTCCATCCCCGCCAGCTGGAGCAACTGGTGGAAAAGGGAAATCTGGGGGAAGATTCCGACTTTATTTTTGTGCTGACAGAGCAGCCACAAAAGAACGCAAAGTAGCCAAAGAAGTCAAAGATGCAGAGACCCCAGAAGGTCCAGTTTGTGGTCCCCAGAGAGCCAGAGCTTTTTTTGAAGATGAGGAGGACCCATATGTGCCAATGAAGGCAGGGGTGGCTGCCCCTCTGGAAAGCTTTAGTGATTATATGCCAATGGCTCCTCAAAATGTTTCTGCTTCCAAAAAGTGCCAGTCTCGATCCTCTTTGGAAGATTCGAAAGGGTACATGCTGATGTTTCCCAGAGTGAGCCCACCACCTGCCTTAAGTCCTCCAAAAGCACCTGATTCTGATAAAGAGGATGACTCTAAGGACAATGAGAGTGACAGTGATTACATGTTTATGGCTCCTGGGGCCGGTGCAATTCCAAAAAACCCCGGAAATCCTCAGGGGGACTTTTCCTCCAAAAGTTGGAGCTCCTACTTCTCTCTGCCAAATCCTTTTCGGAGCTCCCCGTTGGAACAGAGTAACCACAGTGAGTATGTGCCAATGTTATCTGGAAAACTTCTGGGGAAGGGCCTAGAAAAAGAAGCACCTACCAGGGGCCCCAAATACGCAGCCTCAGATCCTTCGGTTGAGAGCTTTGAAGCTTCCCTCCAGTCATACTCAAAGCCTGGAGATGGGGGACCACCCTCAAAGCCTTCAGAGGATGGGTCCCCCAAGGACAAGGCTAAGAGACCTCACAGACTTTCTTTTATTACAAAAGGAAATAAAATCCAGCCAAGACCAGAAAAGTCCACACGAGAGCAGAGAGAGCCTGACAGCTCTAGTGACTATGTCAACATTGACTTTACTAAAAGAAGCAGTAATATGCCAGTCCCCTTTACTCAAGGACTGCCACAGTCGTGGGGCATAATTGCTAATCCCAGACAGTCAGCCTTTTCTCAGTACGTGAATCTTGAGTTCAGAGTGCCATTTCGAAATCCTGCAAACGTCCTCTCAAATCTTTTAAGAGCTATTCCCGGTGCCAACCGCTTCTCTCAGGGCCGTGCTAGGTGGCCACTTCTGCCTCTTTTTACCAGTGCTACAGGTGGCAATGCTAATGAGGAAGGGTGTGAGTACATTGAAGTTATGTTCAACCAAGCAATGACACCAGCCTTGCCTTTTGCTGAGCGTGTCATTCGCTATGATGCCGAAACAGGTCGAATCTATGTGGTCGACCCATTTTCGGAGTGCTGTATGGACATTTCTCTCTTCCCCAGCCGCTGCTCCGAACAGGAAGAAGAACTAGAGAGAAGACACCCACAAAGCCGTTTGCAAAGTTTCTTTGCATCCGCCAGAACCGCTGTCTCGGCTTTACCAACCGACAGCCTGGAGAGAGATCTCTACGCTTCCTTAGCCTCGGCCGCCGCTGTGGTCGTTGCTCCAACCTTAGCTGTGGACCGGGCTTTAGCCGCTGCCTCTGCCCTCGCCGCAGCCCCGGGCATGGGCGCAGCCGCCGCGGGCTTCGAGGCCGCCGCTGGATTTAACTCTGCCTCTGTCCGCTGGTTCCAACCGATTGCTAATGCTGCTAGTGCCGAAGCAGTAAGGGGTGCCCAGGTTGTTGCCAGTGACTCGAACCCTAAAGGCTCAAACCCAGCTGCAGATCTTGCTGGAGGTGAGAACGAGGCTGGCGGCGCTAGCGCTGCAGCTGCCGCTCCCACACCACCTCCTCGCCGCCGCCTGCCAAGACCCCCCGAGCGAGAAGATTCTGAAGACAACAATACTTATGTGAAAATGGACTTTGCCAGACCTGACGACAAGCAGTTCGACGCTTCCCAAAGAGGTTAGTAATTTTATAATTAATTTCCCTAAAGTTGATGGTTATTTAATGAATCGATGCGCTACTATGTCTACGGTGTTAAGAAAGAGTGAGTTAATTTTCATCAGGTGATGCCTATCTAGCATGGAAAATAGAATTCAGTTTTAATTACGCCTGCAGTACTCTCTGATATTGGCAGAAAAACTTAACTTTTTAATCCAGTCATATGTAAATCCAATTTCTTTATCTGGAAAGTACCGATTATCACTTGTAGCATGAGGATGCTTTCAAATATCTTCCCCTTACACTTAATGATTTATGCAAACAGGACACCTTGAATTGAATCCCATGAACTCATTTTCAAATCAACAACAAAAAATGTGTTTTTCTCCAAATACCCGTAGTTCATTGCAGGAGTTTTAATAAGAGCACAGAATATCAAGGGGTAATAATCACCTGTTAGCATTTAGGAGAGGACCACTTTATTCCCTGAAAGTTACTTTTTGAAAAGCAGTCATCCTTAACCTAGTTTACTATGATTTACCAAGAAGATTAAATCTCAGTTGTTACCATAAATATCTGGGGGAATAAAGCATAAATGATCCAAAACAACAAGTGATTAAAAGAAGAGCATATCTGGCTCCAGAATGTGTTTTTGTGTTGATTTATTTGGCTTTTCCACATTGTTGAAAACTTTGAGTGTTCCTTTTCTCTCTCTCTAGTAGTGACAGGCAAGTCACCTTCTGTGTGCCTTTTTTTCTTCATGTAACTCTCCCCAAAGAGTATAGAGAAAAGTTTATAATGGGTATGAGTATTATTCCAAAGGTTTAAAAAGCATTTAAAACAGCTAATTGGTGTGTCTTCTGGGAAATCTGGGAAAGCAAGATCGTAAGGCTGGAGGAAGGCGGGGCGGGGCCGGGGTGGGGGGACCTTAAAGACAGCCTACCTGCAACAGTGTAAGTTTCTTAAAAGGGTTACTTTTCCAAAGGAAGAAATAAGGAAGAGTAGGAGCTATTAGAGTTGAAAATAAGACTTTGAGTAAATCTGTGTACATTATGCAATGTTGTTATCAGTGTGTTTGGAGACATTCTCAAGAAATGATTTCAGACAGTGATGTCTCCAGTCTCAAGTGCCTTCCCTCTTTAGTAGAACGTGCTTCTTTCCCAATGAAGGAAAGAGGTGGGCTTCAGCAGTTTTCATTCCAGTAGTCGGTTTAGTGAATATTTTTGCTTTGCTTGCTTTCTGGAATGCTTTTGTGATTGAGTCTCTGCCCACTGTGCTTGATCAGGCAGAACAAGTCAGGGACTGATCACAACAGTCACCTAACAAGCTTCCTATTTAGCGCAGGTGTAGCCCCCCCTTCTCTCTCTGCTTTAGAGAACTTGTCGTACAAATACTCACATTTGCAGCATAGACACATTAAGGAGTGATCATTAAAAGGACAAAAGGATGCTTTGGCTTGCCAAAGGATTCCATTCAGATGTCCTTTAAATTGTGAGCCACCCTCCATACAAGTGCACATGCACATACATGATCATCACTATTGCCCAAACCAAGCATTTAAAATGTATAATTCTATTTTCAAGAATTTAATCCATTATCAGCTTTTCAGGAACAGATCTATTTTAGTCCCTAAAGTACATCTGGAAATTGGTGTCAAGTTATTGTTTGAGCCTAACTGCTGAAGACACCCTTTAGGATATTGATGTAGGTGTTCCACAGCTACCTGTGTCCCCATGGTATCTTAGAAAGAACAAGTTTTCATAGAGGTTTGTCTTTATTTTCCAATACTTTTTGTTTCAGTAAATATTTAAATTAGTGAAATCTTAAATAAATTCTGACTTCCTGAGGGTCATCCAGATTCAATTATCATTATTTTAGCATAAGTTACTGATTTATAAATTACTTCACTTGACTTTGTAGCTATTTTAAGATTTAATGTTCTCTAAGTATATTGTTCATTGAAGAAATACCTAACTTTATTTTTATTGAATGACTACCACAAGGAGGCTGTGTTTCACAGGAAAATCGGTGCTTAGGTTGAAACAAGAGGATATATGTGGACGCACTTTGGAACTTTAAAGCGTTTTACAAATATATTTTTATTTTGTCATTGGATTAACACTAAAGCAGTTTCAACAGTTTAAACTAATTTAGTTTCTTGCAAAAATTGTTGGTCCTGAAGATAATTCAGGGACATGATTTACTGAGCTATTTAAAAGGAAGGATATATAGAAAGAACTCCCTGCAAGAATTGACTTGCTACCATTTTAATGTAAATTAATATGGTAGAATGTTGTCTGAGAGGCAATAACAGGCTGGTTAATTCTGATGTGTTTTGAATATAAAGCTGTAGGATAATTTTCATCCATTTTTGCTTTCTCTTCACCTTCCTATCAAACATTAAAACATAAAGTTCATGTTAGAAAACAAAAAAAGATGCCCTGCCTGGTGTGACTCAGCAGACTGAGTGCCAGCCTACAAACCAAAAAGGTCGCCAGTTCAATTCCCAGTCAGGGCACATGCCTGGGTTGTGGGTCAGGTCCCCAGTTAGGGGTGATTGATGTTTCTCCCTTTCTTTCTCCCTCCCTCCACCTTTCTCTAAAAAAATAATTTAAAGAAAAGCTTTAACAAAGGAATAAAGGCACAGTCTTTATTAGCAGTTATGTATCTCAAAGCATGATTTTATTTATGGCTAATGCTTAAAACAGTGCCTGGCACATAGTAGTGTTATACATGAATTATTATACAACTGTTATCACATTGTTACTGTTACTACCTTTAGAAATACAAAGCTAAATTCAAGTTCTTAGTCCTCAAAAATCTACTTTTCAGTTAGTCTTTACTTTCATTTAATGTGGTTTATATGGTTGTTCAGAGTTGGGATCTTTATAGTTGGGATCTCTTTAGAACGTATGTTAAATGCGGTGAGACTATAAGGCAGTCTAGATACTATAGTTTTGTTCATGTAACACAAAATTAATATATAATTTTATTTACCCACAGTCACATTGCATATAAATAAGTACTTTAAATCATTTGTCTAAGGCGATTAGAAAAATATCACCCAGAAATATAACCTTGACTTGATCATTTTATAAATGAAATAATTTAAAAAGTATAAAGTGTTCACATTTTATACACATGGGTTATGAGCATTAGCATGTTTTTTATATGGTTTAGTCTAACTCTTGGTCCACATATGAATTTTTGCCTTTTTTATTGCTATATCTCGTGTAGAACTTGAAATGACTTAATGTGAAAAATTCACTGATTTTTCAGTTATAGAGATAGGTGGATAAGGACATCTATAGGAGGAATGAGAGAATTGGTCAGCCAAATTTGCAGTATTATGTTAACATTTGGTATTCAAAAACAAGAAATTGTAATAACTACCTGTTGAAATTTTAGACACCTATTAACATGAAGGAAGTGTAAGCTGCTTTTCAGTGTACTACTGCCAAATTCTCTTGTCATAAATTGTAAGTGCTGAGAACAAATTGTGTTGTATTGGACTTATTAGAAATTACTAGAGTAAAGTGTCCATATAGCAGAGATTTCTCAGTCACCATTATGGGTCACCTAACTTAGGCGACATTCACCCCCCGCCCCCGAAAAAGAATTTGACAGTCATTTGTTGTAGGGATATTTGACCTATAACAAATAAAGAGGAATTCATTCAATTAAAGTTAACTAAAATTGTTGGCAAACATTATTCATTTCTGTTCATTCTAACAGTGACATTTCCCAGGGTAAAAATGTGGGTTACTAGCAAAGCATCTTTAAGCAAGGACTAGGACTTTAATTGAGCAGAACAGAATATCAAACATGCATAAAAACTCCAACAAGATTTCCTCGTTTTCTTTCTTTAATTGCCAAATATGAACTAAAATACTTGAGTCAGTGATAATGAGCTGTTGTGGGAACAAACTTGGGCTTCTTAGAATGACTCCCAATTTTTTGTGTTGGAATAGATGAAGGTAACCAACATAGGGAGGAATATGGAATATTGTGTGTGATTTAAAAGGGACTGTTAAATTGTCATCTTGTTGATTGAAGGAATGCTTTACAGTTGCATACTACCTTAAAATTTGCGAAGTACATTCACATTCATTATTTTACTGAGGGACAGTAGGTACTGGAACTGAGGCCAGTGTTAAGAATTTTTCCTGTGGTCAAAAGAGTTAGTGACAGAGCTGAAAATCAAATGCATACACCTGATTTCAAGCCCATTGCTCCACATAGCACACCACACTGTCCTTCAATCAGATGTTCAATCTGTTCTTTTCCTGTTGATGAAAGATAAGTATATAGTCAAGGGTTGGGAAAAATTACAAGTTCTCATGAATTTGGTAGTCACAATTGTTTTTGGTAAGTAATTAATTCAAAGTGTTATAACTGTGAACCGTCTGCCAGAGGTTAGGTAACTTTCATTACATTGAACTTTTGGCCTTGGCTCTTAGAATAAAATAATTTGACCTGTACTGAAATTGAGTATTTTAAATATGATCTGAATAGAAGTTTGCTAATCTTTATTTCTGAAACAGAAATAGTGTGTGTATATCTATTTGGATTCCCATGGCAACACTGAATGGAAGAAAAGTGTAATGAGGATGCATTCAGTAAATTTCCATTAATGATCTTACCCTTAACTGAAGTTGGGCATCTTTAGTTTTTCTAATAATTTATTGACCTTGTCAGTTACAACAAAATTACTATTTTCTATTTTTCATTTTTGTTTCACAGTTCCAATTATTTCCCCCAACAAAATTATTTTAATTTTATTTTTCCATATGTATAAAATCTGATGTTATAATATAAACAATCACAGTGGGCAAAACAGGATAAGGTGAACAGGTGGGGGGAAAAAGCGCTGTAGAAATAGATGTTCTGTATTTGTTTAAAAAGTAAATTTGCTTTTGGCAGGCAGGTTAGTAGATTTTAGAAGCCTCGAAAATCAAATCCTCTCCTTGGAACATAAAAATCCTTGTTTAAAATTAAATTCATTTTGTTTAACATCTTTTTAATG